CCCCAAAACCCCAAAACCCCAAAACCCCAAAACCCCTGAAATATCAAGCAAAATTGAAAATAAATTGGCCCTCTTCGTGTTAAAATTTTTTGGAGAAATCTGAGACCACAGATGGCACATGAATAGTCTTACTCTTCATCAAGCTTTCAGTCTTCTTTTTAGACTTCTTCCTTTTCTTTAAACAGCATCTGACACAACTCTTGATTTTTACACTAAGGTTATATTTGTGAATGTGAGGTTCGACTTTTATACTACTCTTTTGATTCACAAGTGCTCATTTGGTACAGAAGTTCCATGGTTTCCTCCTTCATATCTGCTTTTTGCTCAATTTTAGCTCTTGATAAATCCTCCTGAACAACTGCCGATGTTTTAAAATCTGCTTGTTTTCCTCTAACTTCTTTTGGAGCTGAGCAAGTTTGTGAGTTTTGGTGTGAATAAAATTTTGTTTATGGATAAAATTCTTTTCCAATTTCTTTAGATCCTCTCTTAAAGCCTTATTCCTCTTATTTGATATGATAGTTCTGTAATGTAAGAGATGTTTGAGTATCGACAGCAACTTTACGATCCTCCTCTAGCATCTTGTTCTGCTTTCTCCAGAATCCATGAAGGTAGATATCTTGAAGCTGGAAGTCCCCTCAATCTGATAATTCTGAATTTTGCATCTCGGGAGTTGTGTAGCTGCTTTGAAGCTCTTTGATATGATTCATAATATTTCTCAGATGAACATTTGGCATTTTATTTCCACAAAAGTTTGGAAGTATCATGAGGATCTCCAAGTCCTCTTTTATTTTAAACCATCAAAAGATTCAGATGATAGAGATCTTCCTGTAGGCAAAACTACTGGGTCTTTTAAAATTGAATGTGTAACATCATCTCTAAGTATAACACCGGATTTGCTTAAGAAAGACAGTATATTCTGCCTATGTTCTTTCAAGGTTTCTTGTTCATTATTCTCCAATTTGGTAATATATTGCTCATTCCTTCCTTTTTGCAGACTAACTTCTTTCAAAAGGCTATCATTACTAAGCTCCAAAGACTTAATCTGATCCTTCAGGTCTTCCACTTCCTTCTGTAGGACAGTATTTGCGCTTTTAGTCCTTCTTTGATACCTGTTATTTTCTTTTATGAAGTACGAGCCCTTACTTTTTAACCTTCTTATCAGTTAGTCTATTAGTGTTACTAAAAGAAAACCCTTTTCTCTTGTGAAGTACAGGGTATCTTTTATTGGATGAGTAGCTGCTGAACACACCCCAAATCCTTTTATGGTGATTAGTCCTTCTACCAAGCGACATAATGTGAATAATTAATAAATTTAGAATCCAATATTTTGTAGATAATTTGGGGTTTTGGGGTTTTGGGGTTTTGGGGTTTTGGGG